GTCCACCAGATTCGGTTGGAGGCCACAAGCAGCCACTGATATAAAAAAGATGAGAACCAAGATAAAGGGTACTTCTGGCTCCACCAGGGGTCTCCCCATGACTTAAAAAGATGAAGAAATAGAGTAAATGCCCCCTTCCCTCAGCCAGTTCCTTGGACCTACCCCACACTGTTTACTCAAGATAATAACCATATTCCCAAGCAGATGGCCAATGGTAGTCCTTAGGACTGCAAATCAGACACAAAGAGCCTTTCGCTGGCTATGTCCTTCCCTGCGTATTACCTCAGACTGACAGTACCTGATACAGAGGAGGCACTGAGATATTTGTTCAATGCCTGAAACTGCCAAACACTCAAGTAGATTCAATTCTGTACTTACTGAGCATCTAGTCTGTAAAAAATACAGTGTTTGATCCATGAAGATGTATAAACATGGTCTCTACCATCAAGGGACCAAGTACTGAGTGTCAAAGAAAAATATTAATAGAACTGGGGGGGGGGAATATCAGAGAAAGGTGAATCTGGATAAAGCAGCAGGTATTTTGAAAATTTGAAACAATTTACAGGACTCATTTAAACTTTATTATTAACAGAAAAAAATGTCTCCTGAATTGGCTTTTTTCATCAGTAAGAATTCTTTATATTCCATGATTCATTCCTAGGATCAAAGTAATCTATAGATTTAGAGCAATCCCAGGAGAAAATCCCTATGGGTGTTTTTGTTTGGGTATGGAAATTGATAAAACTGATTCTAAAATATATATGGAAATGCAAAGGAGCAAGCCAAGACAAGCTTGAAGAAGAGAAAAACTGGAGATCTTATTCTACCAAATATTAAGATTTATTTTAAAGCTGTAGTAATACAGTGTGATACTGGTGCAAGGACAAAGGCAGCAAATTAAGAGTAAAAAGTTCCCCAACAGTTCCACACACATGTAGACACCTGATCTATGCAGTAGCAGATGTTCTTTTCAATTACAGGGCTAGGTCAATATGGGGGAAAAAAATGAACCTTCACCTCTACACAGAAAAAAACAATTCCAAGTGAATTATAAATATGAAAGGTATAAGAATAAAATGTCTTTGTGACCTTAGGGTAAACTACAATTTCTTACACAAACCACAAAAAAGTACTAACCATAAGAGATTATTAAATTAGACTACATTAAAATTAAGGACTTTGGTTCATCAAAGACACCAATTTTTTTTTTTTCAAGATATGATCTTGCTCTGTCGCCCAGGCTAGAGTACAGTGGCACAATCAGCTCACTGCAGACTTGAACTCCTGTGCTCAAGAGATCCTCCTGCCTCAGCCTCCCAAGTAGCTAGGACCATAGGCGCACACCACCACACCTGCCTAATATTTTTATTTTTTGTAGAGATGGGGTCTCACAAATGTTGCCCAGGCTGGTCTCAAGCTCCTGGCCTCAAGTAATCCTCCTGCCTCAGCCTCCCAAAGTGCTGAGATCACAGCGTGAGCCACCGCACCTGGTCAAAGACACCATTAAGAGAGTGAAAAGGCAAGCCACAAAGTGTGAGAAGATATACACAACAAATATGCTCAGCAAAGGACCTCTATTGAGAATATATAAGTAACTCCTACAAATCAAGAAGAAGGAAACAGAAGTACAAAAATGGACAAAAGAGGTAAACTGGCAGGAGATACATAGGTATACAGATACAGATACGGATGATACAGATATACAGATGTAGATATATTCCAAATGGCCAGTAAGCCATTTGGCCTAAATGAAAAGGAGCCTAACCTCATGAGTCACCGAAGAAGTGCAAATTAAAACCACAAAGTGCCACTGCACAGCCACCTGAAAGGCTAATGTTTAAAAGGCTGACAATATCCAGGTTTAGCAAGAATGTAAAGCAACTGGAACTCTCCTGTACTGCTGATAGGAGCAAAACTGATACAATGACTCTGGAAAGCTGTTTGGCAGTATCTAATAAAGCTGAAGATGCCTATAACATGGGACCCAGCAATTCCACTTCTAGCTGTAGAGACATACACAAGAATGTTCATAGCAGCATTATTTATAAATAGCCAAAAATAAAAATAACCTGAACACCTATCAATGAAAGCATGCGTAGGCTGGGAGCAGTGGCTCACACCTATAATCAATCACTCTGGGA